CTGATCACGAAGCGAACGCCCTACCACTAGCGTATCGTGACTGATTTGAACCTCAAAGCCAAGCTGTCTTACACTTATGAATAAGCTTTAAGTAAGGCAAAGCCTCAACTTATATTTGACAAATATTACAGTTTAAAAGAAATAAAAATAAAAATTTAGCATATTGAGCTAGATATATAATTGTAGATGTCAAAATGGTAGGTGGCAATACCTTTAAAACTATAATAAGTTCAATTCTTCAAAATCAAAGAACTAACTATACAATACTTTTTTAAATATATAAAGATTTCTACATACCCTTTACATACGCATTGGTTTCAAGCTGTTGTATCTTGATTTCATCTAAAAAGAAATGTCCAGGAATATTGGATTTTTTTAGTTTGCAATTGATATAATGAAGATTATGAACAGTGATCGATCTAAAAAAAAAATCTAAAAGAATACAAATATGTGACAGGAACAAAATTATTATTCAGATATGAGATTAAAAACCAGTTGCAAAATTTGAATTTGAAACCAATTAACCATTTATTTCATGCGTCCTTTTGTGAAGATTTTAATTCATAATTAATTAGTCATATATATATATATATATATATATATATATATATATATATATATATATATATATATATATATATATATATATATATATATATAGATTCTAATGAGAGATATATAGATATATATATATATATATATATATATATATATATATATATATATATATATATATATATATATATATATATATATATATATATATATATATATATATATATCAAGTGGGACCAGATTAAAATCCATTAAGAGAACTTTATATAGAATTGTGATTATCACGTTTCATTACAGAGCTGAATTTTACATTATAATTTTATATTAGAGAAAAACCCAGAGGGGGGTTAAAGATATTTCTTTAGCTCTCTTTTTATAAAATAACAACAACATGACCAAGACCTTGTAAAATCCTTCATTTAAAAAATTGCTAGAGTTTTACATATATTACATATATTACATGTATTTTAAAAATAGTCACAGCAAACACTTAGCATGTTATGTACTTGTATACAAGTCCATGTACATTACATGAAAACTCAAATAATCTACGAACTACAAATTAAAACAGTCGCCTGCGTGGCGCAGTGGCTAGAGCGTCTGCTCAAGAGTCACAGAGTAAGGAGTTGATCCTTACGTTGCGGGTTCGAATCCCACTGTGGGACGTGGAGACCGGTCCTTCGGATGCGACCGTATAAACCCAGGTCCCGTGTTGCAGTAGGTGCTGGCACGAAAAAGATCCTTCATTGATCAATGACCGTAAGTGCCGAGTATAGGACAAAATTTGCAGTTCTCCACTGGCAAGTGGTGGCGTCTCCATATGAGTGAAAAATTCTCGAGAGGGACGTTAAACAACATACAAACAAACAAACAAACAAACAATTTGAAACTGTATGATTTATAAACAACTAATATGTAATTATAATTTATTTGAAATTTCTTTTTATTCGATATTCGTGAATAGACTGCCAAACAATTCAAGGTTTTCAGAAATTCCGACTGATTAAAATTAAAATCCACAGGTATTATTTTTATCCATTAAATAGTAGAAATAAAAAAATGATTTTATTTCAGAATTAAAACCTTGTGGTTATTATCGGTTGTAATTTAGCAAAAAATACAAGCAGAACATTTTTTCAATTCCTGTGATCGCTGTAATGAAATAGAATTAGTATAGTGGATTGAAATAGGTTTTGAATCATCCAATCGAATTAGTTTGTATTTAGCCAGTCAAACTGATATTTCAGCCAACCAAATTCTTAGAATTATTAACCAATCAGTACTTATTGAGCAGATGTATAATTGTATAAATACAGGGATCAATCAAGCTTTTGTTTACTTTTGGTGTAACTCACTCTTGGAGTTTGGTGAGTTTGGGTCTCTGGACTGTGTCAGGAAACAACAGAATTGCTGGGTAGACCACTCAGCTCAAGGACCTAGTTCCCTAGTGTCTTTGTGTCTAGCTATAGTGTCTCGGTGACTTAAGCTTGTGTCTGTAACCAAAAGTAATATAGTGTCCTGGAGACTAGCTATGGTGTCTTGGTGATTTTAGCTTGTGTCTCTGTGACTTCAAGGTGTCCCTGTGACTTTGTGCTAGGGTTTTTAGGTAGTTGCAGGCTGTGTCGGGAAACAACAGAACTGTTGGTTAAACCACTCAGTCTGCAGCTTCAGGGATCGGTTAATAAATATTTAGTTAGGCTGGCATCTTTGATTGAATTGATTATAGGTTATTCTTTTGTTATATAGTTCTTTACTGTTTGTTTACTAATCATTATTCAGATAGGATCAAGGAAAAAGTATATACAGTGGAATTCAGTCAGTTGTATTATCTGTGTCATTGGTTTTATTGGAGTTTGTTTGATTCAATATAAACGTGATTCTTAGGTAGGAAACCTAAGCGGACCCAATTATTAATCATTTATACATAGTAAAAACGTTACAAAACGACCTTGATCACAGTCATACATTACAAGAAGAATGTTGAAGGTGTAAAGATTCCATATGTTTTAAAGGGGATGCATCTGGTGCACTCCATACACAAAGAATTTAATTTTTTTTTTATCAATAGAAAATCATGCTAATTAATACCTGCTTCCTACAAAAATTGAAAGTGAGTGTTTATATTTGAACCCGTCCCCACAAAAATATCTGATCCATCGTTCGCCAATAGGTGTGAATTATAATGAATTATTACCATTTATTTGTCATTTATGAATCAACCAGTCGCCCGCGTGGCGCAGTGGTTAGAGCATTCGCTCTAGAGTCGCGGTTTCAAATCCCGTTGTGGGACGTGGAGACCGGTCCTTCGGATGAGATCGTATAAACCGAGGTCCAGTGTCGCAGTAGGTGCTGGCACGAAAAAGATCCCTCACTGCTCAATGGCCCCCAGTGCCGAGTATTGGTCAAAATTTGTAGCTCTCCACTGGCAAGTGGTTGCGTCTCCATATGAGTGAAAAATTCTCGAGAGGGACGTTAAACTATAAACAAACAAACAAACAAAATGAATCACCCAATTTTACGTATTAAAAAAGATGCGTTTATGAAATACTGATGCCCACTTATGGCAACTTATAGCAAAGGTTAAACATTCTAAAATGCAAATCAAATATGTTTGTACCAAAAGTAATGTCTTGTTTGAAAAATAAACCTGTGAAATATGAAAGCCCCAGCAGCAACCATTGAAAAATGTGGAAAAGGATAAAGTTTTTCAAAAGTAAATCAAACATCAAGGTCAAGTTGTCCAAATTAATGGTGCACAGGGAACAATCTTCTCAAGAGAAATTTACTTTTGAAATCTGAAAGCCCCTGCACAATTCATTTAAAAGTTATTGCCAAGGATAATTTCTTTCAAAAATAGTTCAAACTCCACGATCAAGGTCAAAAGAGGTCAAAGTTGTTGATTTCATAAGTAAAGTATTGCCACAAAAATTACACATGTGAAGTATGAAAGCCCTAGTACCAACCGTTCAAAAGTTATGAACAAGGTTAAAGTTTTTTTTTTAAAGTACCGGTAGGTCAAACTCCTAGGTCAATGTTACAGGGTCAAAGTTATTGGTATCCAAAGGAAGGTCTTGTCACAAAAATTACATATGTAAAGTATGAAAGCCCTAGATTCATTTGTTTAAAAGTTATTGACCAAAGTTTAAGTTGGGTACATTTGCAAAACTGGGCAAACTCCAAGGTCAAGCTCAAAAGGTCAAATATGATGGTGCCCAAGAAAAGATCTTGTCACAAGGAATACACGTGTGAAATATAAAAGCCATAGCTCCAGCAATCAAAAGTTATGGGCGAGGTTAAAGGTTTTGCGGACAAACAGACGGACGGACAGGGTAAAAACTAAATGCCCCCGAATCTTCAATTACATGGGCATAAATACTATAAATGATACACAGTTTTAAAATTATTTTAATCTGGTACAGACCTTGATTTATCTTGCCTTTGGATGCATCTTCTTCACACTGTTTTCTTGGTTCTTCTGTGTAAAGACGGTCACGGACAGGGTCCATTGTCTCATGTTTCAAAAAATCCACCTCTCTTTCATACTGGTTTCCATTGTTAAGGTATGTATCAATGTCAACGACTGCTGATCTGACAGTTGACCAGATTGTGTTGAATTCAGCATTGGAAAGGGCGAATCTGGGAGAATTGACACACTTTTTTCCGGCTATACGAATCCTCTCAATGTTGGCAGAGAGAGATCTATCAGTGGGGTCTGGATCACATCCCCATCCTCTCCTGTGTGGTTGTATGTTACAAATGTTTCTAAGTAGTGTGTACAATAAAGAAAAGTCCATGTCATCATAGTTTCCAGAATAAGGACCACGGGTAGCAAAAATAAGATTCCTTTGTGATGCCGTTGGATGGAAAAGAATGCTTCTCTTTTGATTCATGACACGTAGAAATGTTGACTGTGGTACGAGATGGTGTAAAACATCACGTAGTTGATCAGTGCATGGACCGAGGATAAGTCGATTCGCTCTGTTGGCATTTGTTGTCTCCACTGTAGACGAGTAACGGGAGGTTGCCATAGCATTAATGAAATGATTCCCTGAAAAATTTAAAATCAACTGAAATTCAACATGTAACAGTGATGGGGTCATTTATTTCATAAAATTATTTATTATATTTAAGAATTTTATTATTTCAGTTTTGCTTTATACAGTACGCAGTACAGTTAAGGCTACACATGAAGATAATATGGTAATGAGGTTTGACGTCATGACAGTTGCTCCGCCTAGATAGATCCATATAAGGAAATAGGGGAAGTTTCTAGTATGCCGGTCCCCAGAATCACGCGACTGCGCATGAGCGGTTATTTCCCTTGCCGTTGCTATGCACAATGTAAACAAACCGCCATTTTCTCCTCGCTTCAACAAAACGCATTCGATCGAGTGATTAGGTAATAATGAAATGCCGGTATCAAAAAAATAAAAACACTACTTACCTTAAATATCAAAATCATCCATGCTGTCATTAATATTTGGAGACAAAATAGGCAGCAGCACATGTCGTTGTTTCTTAGGCGATGTAGGTTTGTCGGAAGTAAGTTGAGGGATGAGAATTTGGGGGTTGTACACGGACTTTATAAGTTCTAGAAATTTTAGGAAAGGATCTGAGGAATCTTTTAAGTATTTTTTACGTATACAGTACTGGCTAAAATAAGTGTCATAGAGAGATTTAACAGTCCCGCTCACTGGCAGTGATTTTTTCAATGCTCTCCAAGTTGACTCGATCGTGTTTGTGTGTGCACCAGTGGTAGGGTCAACAAAATGCAGAGAATGGTTAACCTTTAAGTGATCGAATCCCTCCTGGTCGAGAATGTCATATGCTTTCCAGCAGTCAGATATAATAGTAGTTCCCGGTAAAATATTTTGTTTTATGATGCCGAGTAATGTTTCTCTCGAGCGATCTGTCATTGTCGTGAAAAAACACTTCTTTGATCCTCTCTCTATCCCTCCAAACACCCACACACCTTCAACTTTTCGTCCTTTATGAAATTTTCTCTTTCCAAATTTGCTCTCGTCTATCTCGACAACTTTCCCCTCTCCTCCTATTTTCTCAGATTCCTTTTCTAATACGCAGGTGCAAACCTCCCGTGCGAAATTGTACCAGTCTACGATGGTTTGACATGCAATTTCAAGTTCGTGTCTGACAAATAATTCACTTACTTGGTACACCCAAAAATAAGTAATTAAAAGAATTTTTTCCAGAGTTAATTTATGATTCTCGAACCAGCTCCCAACTCTCACGGACACTTTCTTGTGACATTTTTTGTTGGAGCATCTCCAAACATGTTCGTCTCTGGAATAACTAGAATCCTTCCTTAATCCAAATTTTCCCGTCTCACAACTTTTACATGTTTCCCCATTTAAATCAATCAGAACATTCAATCCAATTAACCACTGAATTAAACAAGTTAAATCGGCGCTTTTCTGGTAAATATCCTTTAATTTCACCGGCATTTCATACAATCAGCTGTTTCTGTTTACAAATTACGTCACATGCTAGTATGTATCAGTGACGAAAATCTCATGAATATTCATTTATTTCTACAGAACGCGCTCGAGACAACCTTCGAAGTTGACAACATTAAAAGTCGATTTTACAAGAAGCGTGTAGTTTTATTTCTGGATTATGTTTTACTTCGAATTTAAAAAACTGTGTTTAAAAACCAGTTTTTTAAACCTTATTTTTTACAAGGAATTCATTTCTGGGCTTATTTTTTGGCCTTTTTATTGATTTTTTTCGATCGCTCACGCGATCGCTTTATTATAATACACCGCCTTCGGCGGCACATATTTTAGCGCCATATTTATGGGGACCGGCATACTAGAAGTGTTCCGGAAATAGAGCTCAAAAAAGCTATTTAATGATGATTGCGAAAATTTGTAATGAATGTCTGTATTTTCAGGTTTAAATAAATAATCATTAGTGATTTTCTCTTATATAGTAACAACACGTCTTCGAAATAATTCTCTTTTTATTGTGTCGTTTGGCTGCATACGGCTTCAGCCAAGCGCTTGCACTCGGTGACACGGACTGTTGTTTACATCTAAAAACGTGGCGACAGCAGCTGAGATATGCAGTGGATAAATGCAACAATCAGGCAATCCTTAAAGAGAATAGGGATAAAATAAGAGACCTGGGCCTTGTTTATCTTTTTGATGAGAAGATGATGACGTTATTTCGGGAAATCATGGAAAACTGAGACGATCCGAACTACCTCCCTAGGTCCCTTTCTGTTCACTAAGGTGTGTATGTGCATAGGTATTAACATGTAGACATACTATTCTTTACATCGATGTAAAATAACCTTGAACATGTACAATAAGATGTATTGTTACAGTCCGTCACAAACTGCAATGCAGTGCCTTGTGTGTACCCCCCCCCCCCCCCCCCCCCACACACACACATACACAAAAACACACACATTATGAAAGTTGCACACTTTTAAATATGCAATGATGTTGTCCTTTGGCATACATGTACAAACATGTAACATAATATAAGCACGTCATGAATTTAGATGCAGTCACACTTGCAGTGTATTTGTGAAGTCAAAACTGCACAGTGTACAATGTATGTGCACTGTAAATACAAGAGTATAAGACCCTATAAATTTTAATTTATACCTCTGGCAATCAAAAATATGTGAATTTTAAGATTTCAGTTTTTACCAGTGCTTCATATTTTAAATTCATCATAGAACTTTTACTATCTGTATCACTAGGCTGTAAATTTGTAGAATTTCTACATTAATGAAGATAAAATGTTTGAATTTTCATTTGTCTGACTACATGTACATTAAGTAAGTCATATCATAATGTATATACATGTATTTATGTACTGTTTATATGTATAATTTTTTTTGTCATTGTAGCTATCACAGAACTGGTTAAAACTGGCATTTACATCAGCTAGAACTATCAAAATAGGTGCATCAATTTCTCCACTGGGTATGATCACACTAAAGCATTTCACATTAATTTTATAGTATGCCAATGTTAAATATTTTTTTTAAATGTTGTATAGGTTAAAGAATTAAATGTTATCTCTAGTATATTGATTTTTTTTTTTACTTAAATTAAGTTTAGCTACCAATTCTAGTTTTGCAAATGTCATAGGTTTCAATTTCCCAGAAAAGTTTTGTATCAAAAGTTTGTTTCCATTTATTTTATGAATTTCAGAAAATATAGTATAGCATGGTTTGTTTTGTACAATGCAATGTCATTTCATTCTACAATAGTAATCATTATGTTTTTCACTCATTACATATATATTGTATTGTAGCTACTCCCAAACAATTTGAACAATTCATTCAGGCAGCAAGTGTTTCCACCAATAAAATAAAAAGGTATGCTCCATATAAGCTCTAAACCATACATATTTCTAGCAAGATTATTGAAATGTTTTGATAAGAAAAACAGTAGAGTCATGTATATGCTCTCCATGTTACTCAATGCATTGTTCTGAGTATCACTTTTTTAAAACACCAATGAACCTTCCATAATGGTATTTCATTTTGTTTTCAGAATTGATTTCATCCAGAAGAACTGTTTTTGAACTGTGGACTGTTTGAAATATTTTGCACCTGCTCAGAAATCCCTTCACAACTTGTCTTTGAATTTGAAAGGCTGTTTTTAATTAAATAAATTTTCTAGATAACTAATACTTTGATTTTTTAACAGTACAATGGTGTGAAAGTTTGAAGGCTGTTAAGATTTGAGTATCTTAAGTTTACTTGCATGTATTCTGACAGGCGCGTAGCTGCTTATACGCAAATACGCAGGTGCGTACACATCGTTTACAAATAAAAAAAAATGGGGGGGGGGGGAGGGAGAGATTTGTGAGAAGAGAAAAAATATCAATACCATCCAGCAAATATTTGTGTTTCAAATTATTTTATCTCATACTGTTTCGATTCAAATTCAAATTCTATATTACCATGTCTTTATAAAAAAAAATTGTAATATTTTATTAAATCATTGCCAAAACCAAATAAAACATTCATTAATTTGTAATTCTTCTACAACACATTGATAATTTATTTTAAGATCTTTGAGAAAATATCAACCGTTGAATGCTGTGATCCACTAGAATATGATTTGAAATATTATTTTTGTTAAAAATTGAAATTATTAACTTTATTATATGATTGAATAATTTCCCTCTTTCTGATTGGCTGAGATCCAACAATGTTAGAAAAATACTACGTTATATTGACCTACACGTGACCTTCCAGGTCAATACAAGGAATTATTGCAGGTCAACATAATGAATCACGTGACCTTCCAGGTCAATATAAGGAATTATTGCAGGTCAATATAATGAATTATTCCTATTCCATTTTTTCATGTTACAATGTGTTCTTGTTGAAATTTCTCGTTAAAACTTTCAATTTAAGCAAAAAAAAAAAACAAACAAAAAACAGTCATGTAGGAGTTTGCTATCATTTAATCATATAATAAAACAGTTATTGCTGTTTTTTGAGGTCAATACGATGATTTAGACACCTTCGAAGTACAATATTCACCTCGCCCTTCGGGCTCGGTGAATATTGTACTCCTCAGGTGTCTAAATCATCGTATTGACCTCAAAAACCAGCAATAATTGTATAATATTTGTTGCCGAAAGATGATACCAATATATCTTTTTAAAAAAATATTCAGCCTCTACATGTACAATAAATTTGCACGGAAGTAATTAACTTTGTGTTAAAAACAATATTACTATGTCTTGTATTTTCTAAAGAAACTCGAAATGGCATGATTTTGAATGAAATATTTGGTAAAAAGCATGAGCTTCCAGGGACTTCGCCCCTGGGCCCTCATCTGGACCCACTGGGGGTCTCAAAGCGGACCCCAGTCGTTCTCTGCGTACATTTCACTTCCATTCTGGTATGCGCCTGTCTGTGTTTTGGGGTACAACAAGATCTAAATTTCAGCATGTATATTGTGTTCACCTGTTATTTAACAGAGTATCTGTTTCTTGATTACAAAGTTTTTACTATGATTATCTTGTTTGCGCATTGATTGATAATTACTCAAAAACATGAGACTAAAGCCCCCCCCCCCCTTCCCCCTCTACGCCGATATGATTTGTGCTACAATACCCAAATAAGTAAAACCTGAGGAAAACACTGTTTAATAATTTATTTTTAACATGCCAGTAAGTATATGGTATTAAAGGAGCCAAAGGCAAACTGGTGATGGGGGGTTGAGGTTGGGGGGTTGGGGGGGTTAGATCTGTAGAAAGGAAAACAGGTTATTAAATACAGGAGTAAGCACCCCAATCCCTTCCTTCTGTTCTTAAAACTTTTAACGTAGTCTAGAATCTATAAACAGTTGAAGGTTTGATAACTAAAATAATCACATAAAAAAAAAAATTTAAAAAAGTACTAAGTTCTGTTGGAGATATTTTTTCTGTGTGTCTACTGAGGAAGAATAAATGTTTTATCATTGATAGGGGCTGTCTATTTTTTTTTTTTTTTTTTTGTTATTACAAATGACTGAATCTTTCAATATTTTTAACCATGGGCATTTTCCAATTCATTTACATGATGGATGTTGCGGCAAATTTTAGGCGAACGGAGGAAATGCGGTAGGTGTCAAATACGTCTTGTGTAGCGTATAAAAGAACGAAGATATACAAAAACAAAGTAAACTCAAAGATTTTTTTATGCATACCGTATTGATTTAGTGAAATAAAGCCCAGCGCAGTCCGTAGATATTATTTGTTTAAAATTTGCGAGGTACACACACTCTACTTAGTATCACAGAGTTATCTCCCATGCTGGGTCAATGATGCGTTTGAAAACTATATTTAGAATGAATGTGTTAAGATTTCAATTTTTAATCAAAAAGTGCAAGGGCAAGGCGACAACCCAAGAGGTAGGTTTTTATTTTAAATTCTTTATTTTACTGTATAGTTTTTAAAAAGTGATGCTCATTTCTTTGTAATTCATTAGGTAATTTAAAATTTCCGATTAAATGATGAAAAATAGCCTATTTTTGAATACTGGTGTTTGTTTTCAATGAATAACTTAAATATCTCAGAAATCTGACTGAATGAGCATCAGTTTTTCGATAGGCTAGATACCACGGGACACAATGAAACCTTGTGCAGTTCAAATATTGTTTGCCTTGCCCTTGCACTTTTTGGTTAAATTTGACATTTCATATTTTGACCTAAAATCGGAGCTCACGTGACTTTAGAGGGTCACATGATGACAAAAAATACCGATGTGAAAAGCGATGGACAAACTCTTCATAAAGCCATTAAGATATTCCAGATAGAGTTTATTGCTAAAAAATAAGACGGTTGAACCTTAAGTGTCTCGTTTTTGGTGCCTTTTTATAGAAAATGTTGCCTTAACTGCACTGCGTAATTTTTACACCATTTAGTTCATTTCAATAAATCAATACGGAGTTATTTATATGAATAAGTGTTTATACTTATTTGT